ATATATATATATATATATATATATATATATATATATATATATATATATATATATAACTAGAGTTCATTACAAGTATAGAAAAGTGATGATATTTTTTTTTGTAGGAAATTGTAGCAACAGTGGTGAGATTCGTATGCAAAAGTTTCTTATTTCTTCTCTATTGTTTATTCGGTCCGTTTTTCAAACTGCGAACTCTGAAGAAGCGACAACAATGCACGTCAATCGACAATCAAATTTTGTTGCTATCAGCGACGAAAATTGCGCAGAAAATTCGCATGAAAAAAGTGAGTTTGTATCGCACAACGTATTAATTACATTTCGAGAGAGAGAGAGAGAGAGAGAGAGAGAGAGAGAGAGAGAGAAGGGAATTAACCGAAAAGTTGTGTTCGATTTTCAACAGATAGTGTCACACATGTGCAACAAAAGCAACAATGCTAATAATTATATATTAATTGCTGATCTGTAAATCGTGCGTTAGCGAAGACGAAAGCACAGACGACGACAGCGATTACTTGGTTGATAACTTGCTTATTTTTTATTATTTACTTACTAATTTGTTCCTCTTGGGTGTCATAAAGTCATAATGTCATAAAATCTGATTGAAAAATTGAACAAAACTTTTTGACCCAGTATCTCTAAATCATTGTAGAATGCTATGCGACGCACATTATTGATAAAATTGACGCGATTCCATTCATATTCTTGTGTGTGTGTGTGTGTGTGGTCACACAAAGTTTACATACAAATCATCTCTCTAGTTTTCATTTAATTCAGTTACGTCAATATGCGAGGGTACACATTGGATCACTGTCGAGGATTATTCTTGGGCGAATTGAAAATTATCGCAGTGTATAATTATTGAAACGTCTTAATTTCTTGGTCTTTCAGAGATAATACAAACGGTTTATGACACGCCGTTTATGAAACTATGTCCGGCTCCGCGAGTTAGTTTTTTTGCTCGCAATATCATCAATAACGCTCTATCAATATGAAGACTCACAGTTGTATCCTCATCCGATTTTATGTGTGACACGCGTTAAATATATTGTAATAAGTCAAAAACACACGCAGGTATTTTTCTTTATGTGTTTAATTGTACATTTAGTCAAAGTCGGCGAAGGACATTATGAATTTCCTCGTACGTTACTTTGCTCGGCATCGTAATTCTCGATACGAGATACAGGAGCGAGATAATTTTATTTTTCCCATTAGATTCGTTGCGAGGAGGTGATTGTCGCTTATGTGGAGCGATGCAAGGAAGTAAATCCGGTGCTCAACGCGGTTGTAGAAAATCGTTACGAGACCGCTCTTCGAGAGGCGCGCGAGATCGACGATTTTTTGAAATCGACGACGATAAACGAAACGAGAATCGCCCACGAAAAGCCGCTACTGGGAGTACCCATCACGATTAAGGAGAGTATTGCTGTTCAAGGTGAGTGGAATAATCGCTCTATCATATGTCACACATTTGTTCGATCGTACAAGATATTCTCAGACCGGTCGTTAAGCTTGTAACGGAACTGCAAAAAGAAAAAAACTATTATTACAATTCATCCCTTTCAGAGTTAACAAGCAAATTTAGAGTTAACGCGTCATTTGCGACACCGTTACCGTTTACAAGTTGCTTTGTTTTCCTCAGTAACAACTCGGTATCGTTATTTTTTTCTATTTTTTTTTCCATTTGTAACAGTAACATAATTGTATGTTGTTGAATATAATCTTTTATGTGTCACTTTTATGTGTCGTCACCTTGCACATGTAGAATATATGTACATTGGGTATGGGGAGAAGGGAAGGGGAGATAAAAGAGCAACAGCGAATTGTGAAAAGGAATCTTTAAAACTGGGTGAAGAAAAAGTAATGGAAATTGTAACGACTCGTCGCTTCTTGAGTCACGATAATAGTAACGAATTCGTTTCAAAGGTGAGTGACTGCGACGGTAACGAGTTGCTTTAAGAGAAAGAAAAAAAGATTACTTGTTCCCTACGTTACTCTTAGCTTTCGCATAGGATAAATAGAACTTAAAATCAGACGGTCACACGTCTAACGTTAAACGTGTAGTCAAAATATTGACTAACGTGACCCCCCCTGCTGCTGACAGAAGCGACATATATTCGCCCGAATATTTTTTTCACATTCATGCAAATTTATTCGGAAAAATGTAGCAAAGGTGTAGAAATTTCTCTTTTTTCTTTTTTTTTTATTCAGTGTACATAGATCGTAACTTTCTCTTGGTAAACGTTCGTTCGAGGATAATTGTCATGCCATAAAAATTTTGTAATCTCGATCAGTTGTGTATCTTGACAAAAATTAAGAGTCTAAGTACATCACTGTTAAGGTAAGACATGTGTGTTTGCGGAACGTCGACGTGGAATTATTTGTTGCAACAGAAGTCCTTGCGGACTTTGTGATCAAAACTCGATGTCGAAATTATTTGCACGCGCGTTCATATTAATGATTACAAACTATCGAGTTTGTTCGAATATATTACTCAAGAATTTTTCTTTAGTAATATATATCTTATGTCTGCCGCGTGACTTACGGAAACACCAAAAGCGAGTACGCACTTGCATTAAAGCTTTACACAAATCCAGTAGATATCGCGTTGAAACCCAGGTAGCAAGGTGACGTCTAAAAACGTTAATTACTACTTACAATCGCCACAAAAAAGAACAGAGTTAACAGATCTTATAATGAATGAAATGGATATATCGGGAAAACGAAAGAAAAAAGGGATAAAGTTCCGAAAAGTATTCACCCCTGATTTTTTTTAAACTCAGTATTCCTACGTATATTGACGCACTGATTACAAATATCATAGTGAAAATTGGCGACTACTTGATTTTCATGGTGAAAACCATGAAAAACCCATAAAAATTAGGCTTTTTTACGTTTATCTTAGTAAATACGGAAAATCATGATAAATGTTTTAAACAAAAGTTTTAGATCTCACTGAGATAAATATTTTAGGTCCTATACATTTTCACCGTACGAATAATAGTTTTCGAGGAAATCGAGTATAAAAACCGTAACAGCGTTGTTACGGTCTTTATACTCGATTTTTGCGAATCCCTTCTGCGGGTTATTTCGCCACGTAGACAGTATGTTTCCCCCGAATCGTGGCGAAAAGAAATAAAGGAAAGAGAACTTACAGTTATGAAGGAACTCTTTTTTTAAGAATATTTTTAACATTTTTAACATTTGCAACACGGGAAAAATATCGGGAATCGAACGACTAGCGGGGGACTGCGCCCTCCGCATCCCCCCTAAAAACTAACCTAACCCTACTTATCGTCACATTAGCTGTCGGTTATTGTTTATTAAAAAGTTATTAAGAAAAAAAGTTAAACACTTTTTAACCACAACGACGATAGATGTTAACGCTGTTACTGTCTTTATACTCCATTTCCTCGAAAACTATTATTCGTACGATAAAAATATATAAAATCTAAAATGTTTATCTCTGTGAGATCTAAAGCTTTTGTTTAAAACATTTATCATGATTTTTAGTATTTACTGAGATAAACGTAAAAAACTATAATTTTTATGGGTTTTTCATAGTTTTCACCATGAAAATCAAGTAGTCGCCAATTTTTACTATGATATTCGTAATCAACGCGTCAAAATACGTAAGAATACTGAGTTTCAAAAAAATCGGGAGTGAATACTTTTCGGAACTACACCGGAAAAAAGCAAAAGTTATGATTAAATTTATTAATACAGACGACATTTTTTGCAAACTGCATGATACACTGAGAGAAAAGAACAGAAGGTTAACTTTACGAAGGTTAACTTTGTTTTCTTTTCTTTTTTGTATTATCGTATTTTCTCGTCGTTCAAGGTAATATAATGTACATAATTTCCCAGCCAAACCAAGGTCGGCGAGATCCTGTAACGTCAATTCTCCTCTTCACTTTCGTATGTACGTGTGTTTGCTTACGTTGTTCTGGCACTTTGTACGTTTTAACGTAAGTGAATGCTGTTTCGCCACCAATGACTTTTTACGACAGAACAGCACTTCTTAGAAGTCGCAGTTAGAAATGCTGTTTTATGCTGAAGTCTCATTTATAATTGAATGTGCTCCGGTCGTTATGTGCATGTTATGCGTGCTATTCAAATCAGTTCGCTACACGTGTCGCACGTTTAAATTTTAATCCATTGAAAATAATACAAAATAGATGGTTGTGTTCAAGAAGATTAGTAGCCAACCGCACATATTTCCTGTAAACATATTAACACTTAACAATGCATATACATCTATACACGTGCTTCTATACTCTAACGAATATCACAAGAATTTCAATCGATTAGCCGTAAAATTTGTTAGAGATCGACGTCACGTCCGCATTTCTCATTCGGGACACCTTGTCCTTCGCTTTAAGCATACAAGAAAATCTTTCATTTAAAGCATGTGAGATAGCATTCATGAAATAGTAGAATTGCTGTCATAGCTGGTGCTCATAATTTCGCAGTTAACGCACAATTTCGAGAGAAAGAGAGAGAGAGAGAGAGAGAGAGAGAGAGAGAAACAGCTGAATAAGCGTAAATAGCTAATAGAATCGGTTGTGGTGCGATTGTTTTCGAAATAAAAATAAATAAAATAAACAAAATAAAAAATAAATAAAATAAACTGTTCTCAGAATAATAAGTAAAGAAGGACACAGCATTAGATAAAGGTCGCAATAACACAACTATAATATAACAACAAATAACGGAGCATTTCTTTATCCTTGCTCTGGTCTTCAAAATTACGACATACACTGTTAGAAAACTTTATATTAAATTTAATAACTGGGATGTCAAGTTTTTTTACTTAACCATGTTTTGATAAAAAGTAATAGTAAAATCAATATTATATTTAATAACACATAGTTATAAAAAATCATGATTAGCGATCAAAATCACAACATAGCAATGCACAACTCCTGCGATAGCATAAAAGAGAACCGATGAAGAGATTTCTGAATAGCTCCGTTGAAATCTCGATAAAGGCCATGATGCTTCGCAAGCTGAATTTTTCAGGCCACGTGACCAAAATAATCCCGAATTTTTGATATATTAAAATATCCTAACATATCACATAACATGTTATAATGTTTCATAATTTCATATGGAATTTAATAAGAAAACACGGAATATAAGATAGAAAATATTAGATTTCATAAGAAATATGAAACATAATACTCCCGCATGTTTCAGTCACATATGCACATTTTTTACTTTAACATGTGTACTAATAATGTTATGAAAATCTTCAATATTAATTTTAATATATTAAATTTTTAAATTTACTTACAAAAGTGCTATTATTTTTAAGAACTTTTCTCTAACAGTATAGGAATATACATACACTTATTTGAATCCTTCTAAAAGCGAGTCAAATACTAATTTTTTCATTCTCGTCTGAGGTTTACCATTACTAATTCGCTAAACCACTGGTCAGGAATGAGCCACTCCGTGGGAATGAAGGAAAGCTCTCCGTCGAGAGCGACGCGCGATGCCGATGTTGTGATGAGGATTCGCGAGGCCGGTGGCATCCCTCTTCTCGTCAGCAACACGCCAGAGCTGTGTCTGTGGTGGCACACGTTCAACAAAGTGACCGGCGCTACCAGAAACCCTTACGACACACGGAGAACTCCCGGCGGCTCTTCCGGTGGTGAGGTTTGTAAGCGATTTCCTCCTAAGAGGGTCCATCTCATTGATCTCTATACAATGCAAAAAGAGATGTGGACGTTCAATTGAAGATTTCGCTGACCCGCTCGTGTTTGTCAGTAAAATTAGAGTCGGCTAAAGCCCGAAAGACAACGGGGAAATTTTTTCCCGGCGTTTCGACGCCCGCTGAATTCTTTTATGTGAAAAACAAGATCCCTTATAGAGGACAGAAGAAGGTATACAAGCGCAGGCGTGTATATAAATATGTACATATGCGTATAGAGATCGGTAATCTGTACTCTTGCTTAGGAATTTAGTACAAAGAGCTCTCTCACTCAAAGTAGTCGACGATTGTCAGATCTAACAATAAATCGAGATCGCACTTAAATACCAGGCTGCCCTTTTGGGTGCTGGCGCTTCTCTTTTGAGCTTATGTTCGGACATTGCTGGATCAGCCAGGCTCCCGGCGATGTTCTGCGGTGTTTTTGGCCACAAACCTACTCCCAGTAAGTTTTATTATTATGGATGTCCGTTTTATCAAAAGTCGGCAAAGGATGAGATAGAGTCGATCAGGTCAATCATCTGATAGAGATCAGAAAATATTTTGCAAATAACGTATGTATGTGTGCTATTGACTCCCGCATGTTTCAAAATTTCAATCACTTATGCATATTTTTACTTTAACATGTGTACTTAATTAATATTGATATTAAAATATCATATTTTCCATATTTTTTATCGCACTTTTGAATATTAAATCCATTGTGATACTGTCTTTGTGTGCTTCTTGCACGTACAAAATGGTGCTATAGCGATATTAATGTGACGTTAATGTGCCGATACGAGACACGATTATCCCGTGATATTCGACACAACGCGGAGCAAAGCAACAAGTAAGATAATTTTGTTAATCGCCAAGTTTGATTACACCAGATTGGGTCTCGGTAGAGGGCCACAAACCTGGTTCAACTGACGTAAATTGGCCCTCCTACTTCGCGATAGGTGTAATGGTCAGATACGCTATCGATCTGCCTCTCGTGTTAACAGCGATATCGCAATCTAACGAGGCTAGAATTGGCTTCAACAAAAAGGTAAGAATCCCCTTGTTTGAATTTAGTTCACACATTGATTTTCAAGTCTATCTTGAACTTGGACGCAATCTTATCTTTCACACACATCATATAAAGCACAACTGTGTGTAAAAGAATTGTGCATACCCTTAAAATTTATATTTTTATGCTTACCAGGTGCGTCTGAAAGATATGAGATTTTTTTACATGACCAACAGCGGCTCGATCGTCACAAATTCACCGGATAGCGATATGAAGAATGCGATTCACAAGTTGGTAAAATATCTGGAAACTACACATGGTGTTAAAGTGCAAAAAGTACGAGAAGAGTTTTTTCTTTTTCTCCTTACTGCATTTTGTCGCGTTGAATTATTGCTACGCGAAAATGGCAATTTGTTTCTATAAAATATGAATATAGTATAAAAAACACACCCACAATATTAAAAAGAACAATTCGCAGATATTGTTGGATTAGAAAAAAAGATTTTATTTAAACAATCGTAACACGTCGCTGAAAATCTTTATAGATCTCGTACCAATATAGCGTATTTATACGATTTTGTTTAATCCTAGACAAATTTCGAAAACATGAGGTCGGCTTTCGAAATAAGTACAACTATTTTGCTCAGACTCGAAAATACATACTCGATGTTCAACCGTTCAGACGATCCTAAAGTAAGTAAGCGAAAAGACGACAAAGTAAGCATCTTTTTACGATATTATATCAAGAAGGCGGGATTGTACATTACAACGATCTTCCAGAAGTCGAAAAACGCGTTTTTGGAGACGCTCAAGTATATCTTCTTCCAGTCGTCGTACACATATCCCGCTCTGCTTTATGGGTTGCTGAAGAACATCGGCGAACGATTTCCGCGTTCGTATTATAACACAATGATTGAGAAGAAGATGCAGTTGAAGCAGCAATTTGAAGTACAGATGTTGCTCTCCCCTCTTTCCGCTTCATTCTCTCTCTCTCTCTCTCTCTCTCTCTCTCTCTCTCTCTCTCTCTCTCT